CTTGCGAGGCCGTAGCTGTGACCCCTTACACCGTCTACACATGCCTCTGATAGACATGCTTCTGACAATGATGACGAGGAAGTGCATTATGATCAATATGGCAGGTTGTCATAGTCCTTGAGGGTGATGGGTAAGAGTTATTTGTTATTTTTTCGTCTATTATTTTGTAATGTTTTCACTAAGATATTAATGTGTTTTTATTATTAAATTGCAGGTTCAAGCCGAGTAATAAGACTACGAGGATAATCACCAATGCCATCAGAAAGCTTTATGATGGCCCTTATGCGACTTGGACTGATTTCCCATTCTCGCTGAAGGAGCAAATTTTCAATCAATTTAAGGTATAAATATTCTTTTAAGTAGTTTAATAATTTATACTATGATGTTTCCATCTAATAGTTAACTTTTGAAATACAGAGCAAGTGTGTATGGGAAGACCACTATAGCTGGAAGTGGCTGCAAATTTTCATCATAAAGCTCGCAAGAGATTGGCGGATGCTTTCTCCGATGTTAGAAAGAAGAACAAGAGGTATGGCTGGTTACTTTGGAATTTATGGGATGATTTGCAAAGGCAATGCCTTAACGCAGAGTTCTTAGAGAAGAGCGAAAAAGGAAAGAAAGCTCGCGCATCCAAGAAGGGAGGCTCCTTACACACTGAAGGTGCGATCAGCCTAGGGAGAATAAAAAGAAGATTTGTACGTAATTGCTTAAATTATTTTACTTTTCTAAGTATATCTATTCTGTTTATTAACTAAATTAATTTGTTTTCAGGAAATGAAGTTGGGGCGTCCAATGAGCCATGATGAGCTGTTCAATAAAGAAGAAGAAAGAGACGGATCAAGAAAGGTGGGTCGAGGACCGATCCTCGACTGCATATGTAAGCTTTCAATTTTCTTTAAGTATTATAATATACTTTTATAATAATTTTGAAATACTGATTTAATTTGAAATAATATAGGGTCGCTACCAAAGTAACGTGGAGGAATTCATTTGTAGTCATCTAGCTGGTGAATCGGGCGAGCCAACCCAACCTTCGGACGAGGATGCTGAAAGAATATGGTTGGAGTCTGTTGGCGGTCCAAAATGGGGGAAGGTATACGGGCTTCCTACAAAATAATTCTATCGCTATAAGTGTGGAATGCAAGGAATAGGGACTTCCTCGCAAGGAGAGCAACTTAATGGGGAGAGCCTCTCCGCTATGCGAAGACAGTGACAAAGCTCACATCCGAGCTAGAAGCAGCCAAGGAAAGAGAAAGGATTAGAGATGCTCAATTCCTTGGCATGCAAGCTCAGATCAGAACTCTCCTATCTACTGGAGCTTTTCCGTGGTCTCGTGAGTCATTGCCAGAGGGTCGACCTCCACGTGATCATTCCTCCCGTCCTGCTCGTGATCGTTCCTCCCGTCCTACCCGTGATCGTTCTTCTCGTCCTCCACAAGATCGTTCTCTATACCGTCTTGTAGATGAAAGTTCATCAGACGGTGGTAGTGATGTTGTACAAAACACCCCTTGACTTTTATATACTTTGAACTAGACAAATAGAACCAGTTTTGAACTTGTTGTAATTAGTTTCAACTTTGTTTTGGATTGTTATGTTCAATTGAACTTTAATTTGTTAGTTTTAAAAGTATTTATTGAATGTTTGGTTGTTGTTGTGGTGTTGTGTTGTTGTTGTTGTTGTTGTTGTTGTTGTTGTTGTTGTTGTGTTGTTGTTGGGGGTATTGGTATGCTGGCAGTGGCAGGTGGTATAGCTACCAAAACAGACATTTTATGCCAAAATTATACCCAGAAAAACCGACCAAAGTTGGTCGGTCTTTAATAAAAAAAAATAATTGCATATTACCGACCAAAGTTGGTCGGTCTTTAATAAAAAAAATTAATTGCATATTATCGACCAAAGTTGGTCGGCTAATGAACAATGAATTCCCAGAATTTAACATTACCGACCAACTTTGGTCGGTATGTTGCCTGAACTGTTGAAGTTACCGAAGGTAATGTTTTATTTTAATTATTTTAAAAATATATATATTTTCAGTTACCGACCAAAGTTGGTCGATTTTTATTGATTTTAATAATTAATAAGAAAAATATAAATTAATTACACCGACCAACTTTGGTCGGTAAAATTAAATTAATAAAGTACGTTTCCGACCAAAGTTGGTCAGTAAATGATTCAAAATTGTCAGATGGTCGTTTAAGCTACCGATCAACGTTGGTTGGTAATTTCCGACCAATATTGGTCGGTAATTCATTCCGACCATCCAAGCGTATGTGGCCGCGTTTTGGTCGGTAATTGGCGATAACCGACTAAAGTTGATCGATTTTTCTGGTCGGTATTTAGCGGATTTCTAGTAGTGTTAATTTATTAAACTTCTCGTGTTGTCTACTTCGAACCAATAATAACTTCATCCTGGTAGTCGTAGGTATACTAATTAATGTGGATTTAGGAGCGTGAGAATCATAACTAACTTACGTTGAACCTGACACCATATGCAAATCTGAATATTGAAATCAAAATCTTGAAAAGACAATGAGTAAAGTAAGTCAAGAATTATAAAATATTTCCGGATGCCTTTAAAGTGCCTAATATAACAGAAACAAGAACGACTAATTGACTATCATACAGCACTGAAGTCGGCCAGAAGAAGAAGAGGAAGGAAACTAATAATAGGCAGTCTCCATGACAGCTGTAGAGGAGACTGCCTATTATTAAAGCTTAACGTGCTTGCAGCCTTTCCACTACGTAATCGAGGAGACGGCTTTATAAGTTATATGCTTGCATTGACCTTTTCAACTTGTATCTTAGGAACGGAAGAAAATGAGACCTCACTTGTCCAGTAAAAGTTCAAAGAGTTTAACTATATTACGATGGTATGATAAAGGCATTATAATTGCATTTTCATTGTATTTGATACATCAATACCTAAGACAATTCTTATACAATACTAATATTATTAAAATACAATATTGTATTATAATATAAGTTTAAAGTCGATTCTAGGTGGATGTTTTAAATTGAAACATGAAAAAGATGAAGATCAAAGTTGTATCATAATTTAAAATTGTATCAAGATTTATACCTAAAAGAATACATGATACAATACTAATACAAATATAATACGATATTGTATCAGCTTAAGTTTAGAGTAGGTCCTAAGTAGTATCATAATTATATCAGAATTGTATAAGAATTCTTTCAGGATTGTATCAAATTTGTATTTGAATTATGAGCAGTTGTGAGATCGTGACGAATTTCACAGTTTGTATCACAAATATATGATAATTATATTTTAGCTATCTAATATATTTCACAATTTTCATAAAGCACTATCTTTTAGTGGTAATTAGCTATCTATAGATACCATTTGCTATATTACGGATTGTAGATACGTTTTCTGTTGTTATAAGATGTATTAGATGTATTTAAGCTACTGTATTCATGAATACAGTAGCAAAAATAGGCGTGAATCAGGGAAGTCCAGCTAATCAGTTGTTGTATTCGAGTGTATTCGACTGTATTCATGACGTGAAACATGGAATTACAGCTGGACAGATTATTGTATTCGACTGTATTCACGACGTGAAACAAGGGATTACAGTATTTTTAAACGGAAAGTGAATTAGTTAACATAATAGACTCCTAATATAACTCAACAAACTCAATTATAACGCACAAATTTTTGTATTTCCAGTTATAAAAAAGATTCTCAACCGAAAAATACCCCAAAAATATAGCAATCTTCAGAGAAATTATATAATACCTTTGAATACATAAATTATATTAATTAAAAAAAATATATGAATACATTCTTATAGCGCGACAGTGAATACAATGAAATACATAAAATACATTGAAAAAAAAAAGACAATGAAATACATGAAAATACAGCGAGATACATTGAAATACAATTAAAAAAAAGGTAACAGAATCTTCAAGTTGCTCGACCCCTAACTCTGTCGTCTTTGTTCAAGAACAACCCTAATATTATCTCGTCGAGAGGCCCGTGATTCTGACTCGAAACGTCACTGTTCCCGTTTCTATCGCATCGTCAAATACACTCTCACATACTTCAAGAGCGCGCTGTACTTTAGGTTCTTTAGTCAATTTGGACCAATTTTATTGTAGCGAAGACAAATTGACTAGAGAATCTTTAGCAAGTTTTAAAGAAAGAATAAATAGCGTTTCTGGGTCAGTAATATTTGAGGCTGCTACTTTTGATAAGCTAGAAAAGCATGAATCTTTGTACTCAGTTACGCTACAGAGAGCTTCGAGGGATTGGGCAGTAGAAGTGGTTGAAGGGTTTTGCTTTGAGTTTGGTGAGAACTCGTTAGCTATTATACAAAGCTTTGAGAGAGAAGGTGGAGAAAAATCTGAAAGAATGAGAGAGAAAAATAATATAAAGCGTATTTTATGGTATAAGGGTAGGAGGTGATCATAAATAGATATTTGGTTATAAAAATCAAAAGGTAGCTATGGAATATAATTTTTTTAAAGGGTATTTATTTAAAATAAATAAGGTATTAACCTTTGCTATAGGAGGTAAAAATTCCTTAATTTTATTAGTATTGTCAGGTATTATTTTGGATATTAATGTACCATCTACAAGTTATATACAATTGTGATACAAATACGATACAATTACGTTTTACGTAGTGATGTATCTGATACAATTTAAATACAATTATGATACATTTATCATACAATCCCACCTACATTACATGGTAAATGACTTGTCACAATAAATGAAAATATTATATATAAGTATCTTTGATGTTGTCGGTGAATACAAATTAAATCCATAATTGAATTACCCATCCAACTGTTTTAGGTTCTCGTTGTTTTCTGGTACTAAGTAGCTAGGTTCTCAAATTGCTGAATTCTTATTTACTTGTAGGAAAGAGTTTATTCACTTGTTTAACATAAACTACTGCTTTTAAAACATCATATATACAGGCAGACCGAAGAAAGTCATACCCAAGAAGAAGTAGCAACTCCATTAGTAATTTAATTATACTGGTATACATTAATCTTTTTGGAATTTTGTCCAGTGATTTCATATTGTCCTTTCTCTTTGAGACTATTTTTGTATACACCGAAAATGTAAAACCGTGTAAGACCAAAAGACTCCTACCACAAAGAGTAAAAGGAAAAGGAAAAACATTCATAATACCTCTTTGTTATCTTCATATTGATTAATAGTAACCACCAGTTATCTCTAACTATATATCTTGGGCATAGAAGTCAATGATCTCCTTGAGATTAAGCTGAAACAAAGAAGAGCAATCATTTTGCATCAACCACAACATGTGTTCAAACAAGATAGCATCCACATCCACATAAATCACTTTCTTGGCTCTTATTTCTTTTATTCTTCCTTTATCTTCTTTCCTCACCATTTCAATTAAATTCCTGAATGGACTTTCTTCCAACACAAATGGCTCCACCAAAAAATTTCTCCTCTCCTTTCCCACTACCACAGTTATTAGATCATCTGAATCGCCATAACCGTCGTCCGCGAGTGGCCTATACCCTAATAATCGGCCCGAGCACCGCCTTGTCAAGATCGCTACGGGCAAAACTATGCAATCCATGAGATGAAATTTAAAAAATGGGAAGTACTTGTCTAACTAGTAAATGGTCACTTCTATGCACTATTTTGTATGAGATCCTTGGACTAGCTAGGTTATATATAGTTGCTATATTGGTTGATTTGGAATGAAAGGGAAGAAGAGTTCTTGATGAGGGTAAGGATTGAATTGGCCAGCCAACGGCTAGTGTAGGTATATATGCATATGCACACAAAGAATAAATAGACATTCTAATTAAGATAAAATAATTGGTGTAGTTTTTAATGGTAGTTTTCGTGGAAAGAGCGCCGTTTGAGTGAGACGAAGATTTTCTAAAGTTTACTTTCTTATAGGGTAGGAAGATGGAAGGTGACAGACAGACAAATGGTAGATCTAATGGCACTTACGAAATTTGTGCGACTTGGTCCCCCTCTTAAGCTAATTCAAACAAACCTACATCTTACATTTAAACACGTACGTATGGCAAAAGAGCCAGTTGGAGCTACAAATTTCACATCAATTATATATTCAAAGCGCGTTCAACCATCAAATTAAAGCCGACTATATGGGCCACCTGATTTTGCTTTTGATGCTAACAATTAGGCTTATTAGAAACGAAATACAATAAGATATTACTTCCTCTTATTCATGTTTTTATCCGTCGTTTATGGTTTTCAAATATCTATTAAAAATATTCGATACCATAAATTATAGGGGAGTATCCGAGTAAATTATTGTCTGTATTTTTCTTAACTGATTAATTAATGAATATATGCCTTCTTGGATGAACATGAATTGGAGAAAAAGATAATTGCTTTCTTAGTCCTAGGCCGTAGAAAAGAATGTCCAAATATGGCGAACTTCTTGTGAGCATGTATTTTTGCCCTATTCAAAATACTTCTATAAAATTAAACAAATAGATTTTTTTTCTAATTATTTGCAATCTTATAGGATTTTTGTATGATTTTATTACTAATTGCTTGCATTTTGTGCACGTTTAATTTTTATTAAAATCATAAAAATGCCCCAAAAAATATTAAAAATACCATGCATTGTATATTAGACTTTGTGTTCATATTTTAGGATTAATTAGTAATTAATTGCTTTATTAAAATAAAAATCACAAAATTAGCTCATTTTTACATTTTAACTTTTAATTTTAGATTAGTAATTTTTTCTTTTTTAATTTAGGATCAACTAATTTTTATAAATATTATAATTAGATAATTAGCTTAATTTCACAAATTAGATTAATTTAGGATTTAATTAAAGAAAAAAAAAGGAAACAAAGAAAAAGAAATAAGAAAGAATTTGGAAAAAGAGAATTAATTGGCCAATTTTAATACCCAATCCGTCCAAACCAAAGCCCAAAACCCTTCCATACTCGGTCCAGTGTCCAGCCCCAAAACGACCTCGTTTCATGTAACGATCTATCCCAACCGTTGATCTCTGATGATCCAACGGTTGGGAACTCCATACCCAATTAATATAAAACTGTCCAAACGAAGACCCCCCCCCCCCCCAACTCCATACACCCCTTCATTTCCATCTACTTCCTCTAAACAAAATAAACCCTAGCTGCCCTTATACTCCATCCCCGGCTCCGCCTATCTCCGCCGCCCGAAAATCGTTTTACGGCGGTGAAGCTCTTCCAAACCACTCCAAATTAACACCATACAATCATCTTCACATCCCATCTTCAAATCTCCAAACCATTTCCCTTGAATCTTCACTCAACTGTTCAACTCTTAGATCCGAAACCCAAACATAAAAACCCTAAGTCACCCAAATAACCCCAAAATCACAGCCCATACTCCTCACAACCCTTTGAACCCTAAACTACAGTCAATTTTCCAAAAATCCCCGCCAATTTCTTCGAATCTCAAATCTAAGATCCCCTGAACCCTACCTTTTTCCCCTCTTCTGATTTCTGATCAACGTTTGGTTGTTTGAACCCCAAACTTTCATTAGTCGACTGTTCTTGTTGAGAACAGTCGATTAATGTCACTTCAAGTTTATGTTACCTTGTGAAAGCTTGGTCAAAATTCGTAGCTGGTCCGGTCTTTTAAAACGAATTTAGGTAATTCTTTTCACTCTCCTGCTTGTTTTTTGTTTCTTTTCCTTTTGCATGGTCAATTTTCTTATACGCATGATTTAGGTTTTCTTTTTTTTTTCTTTTCTTTTTGACTGTTAGTTTAATTACTGGCATTTGTCTTATTAGAATAACTCAAGCATGTTTAAAATCTCATCATTAGAAATTCAATTTGCTTAGGTTCAGATTTAATTAGGTTTAATGTTCAGGTTTTGGTAAATTGTTTGTTCTGTTTTTCTTCTTGTGTTTGTTTCTCTTTTAGGTTTGTTTCAATGTCTAGCTAAGTTGATTAGGATAATGTTAAGAGTTAATTGATTGCCTATTTAGTCGATTCCTGATTAGCTTAGCCTTAGCTTGATTCAATCTATTTAATTGAAACTAGTTAAGTTTGATTTCTATGTTTTCTTTGCATAAGCATTATGGATTTTGATAGTTGTTTGATTACAAGTTAAATGCACTGTTCATTTAGGATTAGTTGGTTAAAATCTGTCAAATGGTCTTAAACCTTAGAATGGAAACTTAGACTTTAATTTAATTTCAGAAATAGAATGTAAATATCCTAGGGTTACAAATTGAAGCAAGTTTAAGAAACCCTAATCATCTAGTTGATTCTAGAATTTCCTAAATAGATTTCTAGAATCACAATAGGATCATATTTGTTTAGAATTGAAATATCTGGCAATTGAAAGGGTAAAAATGGGTTTCACATAAGGTAAAAATCAGAATGTTCTAGATTTTAGACAGCTGCCCCACTCTTAGTAAAAATATGCTGAAATTGGGTGGAAAAAAGGATATACATCGGTCAAAGATGCTGTACTATTCTGGCATTTCAGATTTTAGATTAGAATATTCTCTTTTGATGCCATCTTTGTATACTGTATAAAAAGAAAAGAATACCTACACTCACATAGACATTCATCAGCATTTCTGCATTTAAAAGGTTCTGAAAATAAACATTCCTTGAAATTTTTCCGGCTAGAACATTAGTTGGCCTTTCTCTGGTTTCTGGGTTGATTTCTGTTGATACTTTGATTTTCTGGAAGCTGGACTGCCTTCTCTGGGTTTTCTAGGCTGTGTTTTCTACTGCTGCTGTTTGCTCTTGATTGTTGTTCCATCTTTAGATCTTCAGCAATCAATCTCCTTTATTTCTTTGCTGTTTTTCACTCTTTAAGGTACTGATTCCAGATCTCCTATGTAACTGCTTTGTTTGATAGATTATAAAATATCAAATTTGCAAAGTTATTTGTAGTAAATGAATATTTCTTCTTGTGTTGGTTGATTAATCTGTTCTGAACTTAGCTAATTTGATTGTGTGAGCTTAAATGTAAAATTACTAGCATGAGCACTTGTTTGGTCATCTGATATTTGTAGTCCTCTTTTAAAATGGCCAAAGTCTGAATTTACTTAGATAAAATTTCATACTGATTTTTAAACTTTGGTCACTAAAGCTGTTGTCCATACCTCTTTTGCTCACAAATTATCTTAGTATTACGTTTTGTTTGAAGTCATGTAGGCCATAACATGTGGATTTGGCTACTAATTGGCCAAATCAGCATGTGTCAAAGCCCAAAATTGGATATGTTTGCTGATAGTGTACTGAAGTTGAGAGTCCTTATTGGTGAACCAAGCTTGATGGATCAGCTATATCCAAAGGGAGTGGACGTCCACTGGCTGTTAGTTTCTTGATAGAAATTGTAATAGGGTAAGCTGTTGTAATTTTCTCATAAGATTTTAATGTAAAAGATTAGTTTAATACAGTAGTTTATGTATTAATAAGCCATGATGTAATTTTCTGATTTTGGAGAGCTTTGGGCTCGGCTGATGCACTATAGTTAATTATTTTATTTTTTTTATTTTTTGATTTCACGTACTGCTGTTAGGAGTATAATTATTCTGTTATTGTATTTCGTAAGCATAAGTGGTGTACAGGCTGTGGGCCAAACCTTCAAGGCTAAAAGGCATGTTTCTGCGACTCAAGCCGGGCTAGACTTGCGAATGAACCCAGATGGGAAAAACAAATCTCAACAAGTCTGGGCCTAGGCATTAAACCCAATAGCTTGGCTCAATTATAAAGCTTCCCTTGTGAACATATAGTATAAATGCATGTCCTTTATGTCTTGCAAGTCATATGAGCTGTAATTTCCAGATTTGAATTGTATGTTTGATTCTGATTTTCTTACATAAAATAGATTGGTTTATAATCTTTAACAATTGTGTATATCATATAAGTTATGGCTAGCTTAAATGCAAAGGTAGATAGGCCCAGCCAGTAGATATTCACAATTGAGCCCGCTTAATATAAGCCCAATATGCGCCAGACTTGGTGTAAAAATTGGATTTGGCAATGACCCTTGAGTTCTTCATTTCCGGGCCAAATTCCAAGCCCAATGCAGCTTCAAACGCTGATTGATCCCTAACCAAATAACCAACAGGCTACTGCTGGCCCATTTACCTTATCCTAAAATGATTAAGTTCCAACACATATATCCCGAAACTGTATATAATTAATAGCTTCATATTGAATTTCAAGATAGTTTTAAATATGAACATCCATAGGTTGCTTTAATTGAGTATAAATCTTTTAAAATAAATCGAGGCGTGCCATTCATAATTGAATCACCTAATCTATGGCCCTCACATTAGTGTTATAACTAATGTAGGAAAATACTTTGAACATTCGTAGTTTGCTTTAGGCACGTTTAAAATCATCATAGATGCGGGTACGATTCCCGTGACATAGTTGTGATACCTAATTTTCAAATCCAGGGGTACGTTTACGTGACCCGGCCACAACTTCTAATAAATTTAATAAATTAAACATGTCATAAATCGTGTGTACGGTTCCAGTAACACGATTCACAATGTGTATCGAACAAACAAGTGTACGACAATCGTAACTTGTTCCAGAATAATCTATACTATATTAAAAGCACGAAGGCCCTTAGCGAAATGTCGTTCACCTTTTTTTACCCTTTAAGATAGATTTCACACTAGACAAAATAGTAATTTAATTATTTTCCTAATAGTTAGGACTTTTTATTTTCCTAATATTTAGGACTTTGAAATCAACTAAGATTATAGTTGTAAAATATTTCCTTATTTGAACTATTTAGGAAGTCCTAATATTTAAGAATTTAAATCAAGTAAGCTTTTATTTATGTAAGTTCTTTCCTTGTTTGTATTGAATAAAATAAGTACTAGCGTTTAAGTATGATTCTTCCTTATAGATTAAATAATCCTAATTCCACACAAAGAATATCTGTACAAAATTAACTTTGTAATT